ATCAGATCAAGCACAAATGTTTAGAAGTGAAGAAAATGGAGAGAGTAACTTTAGAGAATGTTACTCGTTTGCTGTAGCCCTCTCCATCCATAACATTTTAGAGCAATAATATGGAGACGGCAATGGGGCAGGAAGGAGTATAAGGACTGGCAAATTATCTCAGGCAAACAAATCACTTGGGAAATAAAATGCACTGTCCAGATAATTATCAGCCTATTTCAAGGTACAGCTTGCCTATCTAACAGATAAGATACAGCCTTTGCAACTCACTCTGTCACTGGAATCAATATAACAGCAAATAGCAACCTTGGCTTTACTAGCCCTGCAGTTTTACACAACAGGACTGTCACCATTCATGGCTGAGAAAACAGAGTCCAAAAATAGTCCATGGGACCTGATACAGATAGCACTGATAAAATACTGATCAAATCTCAAAAAGATCCGAATTTATACTAATACACACACATACAAAGAAGATGCTAAAGCAGAAAATAACTGCACAGTAAATTTGTTAAAAAAATAAAGCTTTGTAACCTACATCGTTGCAAATCTGCCCAAAGAAAACATCCTATACTTAATTTTAAAAAACAGAACATGGGTAAAATTCCATGGGTTGGGAAGTATATGCACCACGGAAATAATGTTTTAATACCCCACCTCTCAAGTTTGTAGTCAGAGTATACAAATGATTTAAAAACAGTGGAGAAACTCTGAATCATTCCCCAGATGCTAACTGCAAGGCAGGGCAGCTGGGGAGGGTGAATTACCAGCTTTCCAACCGCAAAGCAGGGCAGAAACACAGCATGAACTCAATCTGCTACTCTGTTATACTCTAGCTCAGGCTCCAGATCTGACAGGTATTTCAAATGTTACAAAATCAAAAAAAAAATCTTGTTCCAAATTATTCACTTCTGATTTGAGTCCTTTTGAAAACACCCTATTACAAATGCAAAAGCTAGGCAGAAGAGCAAAAGAGGAAACAAGCATTTTTCATCAAAACTTGTCCTCTCTCTTTGAAAATCATCCCTGAAAAATACAGCTCCAAACAACCTGAAGATAATTAAAATGGCAGTGAGCAGAGACTGTTGCTATTGTGCTGCCCTGCCTAATTAATTACTTCTTTGTAATTCCAAATGTCTGTATCCAAATGTCTCCTCTGGCCTTTGGATTTTATGGTAGATAGTACGCACTTCAGGCAAGGTCCCCTCTGTGTATGTAAATAGTCTAGTGCAATTGCCTCTCATATGTGAGCAGAGATCCCCAACGGTAACTGAAAACAGAAGTTGGAAATACGAATAGAAGGAAGTTAATTACAATTCTTGATTAATGCAGGGCAGACCAAAGGGCACGGCATCCTAGTAAGAAACACAATCAGGTAAAGAATAAAGGAGAAGTGGGCTAGACACATAATTCGGGGCATCTCTTCCATGTCAACTTATGCCAAACCTTTCAAAGCTGTAAACCAAGCACCTTGTGGGCAGGTTTGTTTGGCCTATTTATTGTCACCTCAGCAACAACCAGAGCAAGCAGGGCAGATGAATAACTGCATTCTCTTGAAGAAACACAGAGAGAAACACTCTGCAAACTTCGGTACTCTTTCCTGAAGTACTTGCTATATGACCCTGCAAATGTTAGATGAATGCCGCGGCCAAGAAGCATTTTGTGGTTACCCAGGGCTGGCCTATAAGAGCAAAGAATAAAAGAACTGAGATGTGGCATAGGAGCAAAGGGACAGCAAAGCCACCAGCCTGGCCTTTGAGCTGCTGGAGCATTACATCTACCACAACAACATTTGACGTGGCTTGGTGGGAAAAAAAGCACTCAAATCAAGTGAGTGGGGACTTTCATACAGTAGCCAGTGAGATTTTGCTTCTGCCTTTATAAGGAGTGGTAGTCATCTCTCCTTAGTTCATCTGACAAATCTTTCCCATCCTTTTCTTTGGCGTGCCTGCAAAAACCCTTAGGCCAGGAAAGTTCATCCAGAAAAGTACGAGACAGAGTGGGGTTAGTCATTTATTAAGGTGTGAAACCTGAGCCTCGTTGGTACCCAAGAGGAAAACTTCTGCAAAACCAAATTAGTCATAATCCTCCTGGCTTAGATAAACTCCCCTTCCTGTGCAGTGGGCTGCAGAAGAGGCAGCTGTATATAATGGAGATTCTCTGCTTTTTAATTTATGATAACTTATTTTATATTAAATTTGGATCCAACTGAACCATTAACTACAACGCTTTCTGTACTACAAATAGCAATTTCTGAATCTTTTTTTTTTTCCCCAAGGAACTTTAAATGGCCAAATAATGGGGTTCTTTAATATCTTTTCCTCAATTATCTTATTTTCTCCAAATACTTTCAAAGACACTGCATATCTCATGACTGCCAGTCTCTGGGATGAAAGCAATTCTCTTTCTCCTCCATTCTTTCCTGTGAATGTTATTGTTGCTCTTGCACTGTCTGACCAAACCGACCACACAAAACGCGAAGTTAAATATTGCTACTTGTGAAGCTGTATCAATGTAATTTGCCTTGGAAGCAGAAAAGAGAGAGAAAGAGACAGTCCTGTCTCCTGAACTTTTGTGTCTTTGCTGGAATGATACTGCATCTTTGTACTGACAGATGACTGCTCTTGAAAGGTACCCCCACATGTTCTCGACAGCTTTGGTCAGTAACACAGCAAGGTGACCAGAATCAATATGACAAACTGGAGCTTAGTTTTAAACAACTAAAAATCACCTACACAGCTAATTTAATAAACATTAAGACTTAGAAATTTGATTTGTTATCTTTATTTATAAGAAGCACAGCAGTCACACAAGGTTGGTAATAGATCAAAATCTAAGTGTTAGACGAGAAATACTTGACTTTAAGCCTTGTCTTGTGACACTCTTACTGGACAAATACTTAGGAGTCTGCCCAAAAAGTGAGAGAATCTGGCACATATTCACTGACCTATCTCCAAAAACTGAGCTGGGAGGATGGAGGTTACACACATGTTGGGTATCCAATCAAAAATTCTAAATCCCTTTACTATCATGGAAAAAGTTGGTTGAATGGATTTTACCTCCCAAGTATTTCAAGGATTATACCTGCCAACAGGAAACCAGAAATATTTATATTACAAGATGAAAGCAAAATGCTGCACTGAATTCGTTCTGAAATACACACACAAGGCAGAAAATAGATAGCCAGCTCCCTGCTAGTCACATTGGCTCAGGACACAGGCATTAAGAATCCTGTCTGATCCCGCTCTTGTTGAAATCAACAGAAGCCCTCCACTGAAAACCAATTTTCACAGTGATTAAAGATCCAGATTATAAAACATGATTTATTATATCTGAATTTTTGACCTGCTTGCATTGGATAAATAAAGTTCATGCCTATGGGTGAATCAAAGAAACAGGTATCAGCACACACCTTTATAAGAGAATTTCTAGTAACTGTGCTTGAATAAGTATTATGAAAATGGCTGGAGTTGGGAAACAGAGGACTGAAAAAGCAAGTTGTGAAATTCCTGATTATGGAAGTTAAAACAAATAGAAAGTAATTTTGCATTAGTAAACAAACAAAAAACACATAGTAGGTTTCTTTTATTTACTGGTTATCTTACCATAAATAAATGGTTTATGATAAATATCTAGAAAGATTGGACATTCACTAGAGCATCTACAATCTTTACAAACGAAAAAAGAAATGTCTCATAGCATTAGTGTTGGCCTCAGCTTACAGTGAGTTCAATCATTTCCGTGGCCCCAGCTGTAATGACATTCATCATTACAGACAGGGGATTGGAAAGACACTTTCACATTGGACATGTTTACAAGTTTTGGTCTCCTTTTGTCTTGCACTCTTATAAGCACCCATGTTTGACTATTATTTGACTTTATAAATGGCTCTAGCTTGGCCATAAACATCCAGTTTAATTTATATATTATATCTAGATATAGTCCCAAGAAGAGCAGGAATTTGCTAATGCAAAGAGTTTTACTGGGTCAAGCAGAACCCTCGACTCTTTTTGCTATAAGGTGACAAGAGGCTGCAGTGAAATTCAGCACAGCACTGACTTGTGCTATTTAGACATATCCCTTTGATGAAAGTCTTCCCTCTTAGGGATTTCCAATGCCCTCCACCCTCTTCTCCCTCTCCTCCCAACTCCTTTCAAGAGTTGGTTTGGTCCTTTCCCTCCCTCTTGTCCATCCTTCAGAAATCCACATAGGCACGGAAGGAGACCAGATCCATAAGGAAATATAGTGTCCATTTATTATTGCTTGGAAATAAGAAACTTACCTCATTGATTCCCTTTGCAGTCTCCATCAAATCCATGACACAAGAACAAAATCACCTCAGCAGGAACCATCACAGTAGTGCCAATGTTTTTTGCACCCAAGAACTAATTTTCTCACTTAAAAACTAACTTCAGTGAAAAAAGATTAGCTGAAAGCATTTTGAAATCTTGTGAGAGACGTGTCAGGCAAAGCTGCTATTTTCTTCTTAAGTAAAAAGGCTCAAGTAACCATACTCTGTCTGTCATTGCCTTCTCTTCTCCAACCAAGTAACTTTTGAACCATCTGCCAACTTCAACAAAACTGACAGAAGGATAAAGACTTCAAAGATAATTAGGTTTCTAGGAACTTCATGAAAGCAAACAACTGTGTAAAAAAGACATAAATGTGTGTTTGTCATTGAGGGAAAAAGCTCATACAGAAGCCTATCACTTTGTTAAACTTTACAGAAAACATACAGGAACAAAAAACAGGAAAAATACTTCAAAAATGCTACCATTCATGGAACAGCTATTGTCTCTCTTTACTTTTTCTGCCTCACTCTTTAAATGTACCACAGTATGGTTGTATTTTGTATTAAATAGAGATAAAGGGACCCAGGACTTATCCTCATAAAAAACCTGTAGATTTCTCCCATTAACATTAGACTGATGTTAATAAATAGTAGTGATGGAAAAAAAAGGGTGAAATTCAATTATTTCAATTCTCAAAATTATACTCACTGCTTGTAGAAGACATACGGCTGTATTCAGACCTGTAAGACAAAGATTTTGGTTAAACAGGGCTAGGTATCTCAAAGATAATCAAAATATATCAAATCTACTTTACATTGCATATTAAAATACTTTAGATCCCATTCAGTATTATTTTGATACTAAGAGAATAACTGGAACTGGTTTTGAACACGGTTCAAAAAAACTGTCACCTTGCAAAAGTGATAAAAGCCTCTATATAGACTAGAGTAGAGCAAATAGGTTTTAACTAGGCATGGCAGGTGGCTTTTTATACTGCCAACCTTGGGGAAAAAGTTAGAGCTCAAAAGGCTCTCTAACAAAGAAATGAACAGGCTGCTTCGGGCACAGGTTTAGAGCTGAAGTCTGCCAGATTTTGACCCCTTCCCCATCTTCCTCCTCTTATATCCTCTGAAAGCTGCTTTGCAGCTAATCTTTTTTAAGACAACTCTATATAGAGCGTAGTATTTTTATTGTCCTTCAGACACAACTGATAGGGAAGCCAAAAAAATGAGTTCTAAAATATGAGCATTTACATTATTCAATTTTTATTTAAATTATGAAGATCTTTGCTTTAGAAAATCCTTTTTCTCTTCAGGTCATTTCTCAGCAAAACCACAAGCCAGATTGTACTTTACTGTATACCATGCCAGTACTGCACTTTTTTTTGCAGCTGCATATAACCCCAAACTTCTGAAAACCCAGCTCTGGAGCAATTTAAACTTACAAACATGGCCCACTTATACCCTAAAGATTCAGAAATATTAAGGTAAAAAAATATATATATGCCAACATGGAATGTATTTTTAAATTCATTTCCATTTGTGAGGCCAACACAAAGCACTCAGAACTCATGTGTAGGGAGTTCACAACCACATGCCATCAAATCCAGCACTCTCTGGGTCCCCCAGATAGAGCCCTTTCTCCAGAGCTCCTCACCACAATTAACTTCTTGCACATATACCCTGGAATGCCCTGAATGGAACAGGCAAATTGCTCAGGGAGCCATAACACGGAGCTTGGCTTCAAAGCTAAGTGCTTGTTTTATATAAACAATTGCAACAAGCTTGTAATATTGCTTGAAATGAAAAAAACATGTGAACCTGGACTCCTACGGTATTTATCTGGAAACAGATACCATGTAGGCATATTCCCAGGATACCTTCATACTTCATGCTCTCTGGTATGCACAGGAATAAGGACCATAAATGCCACATATTCATCATGACTACTTTAGATTTTAATATGAAGGAGAAAAGTAATTATTGTCATCCTTGTATTTCGTAACCCTCCATTTGGCACGCAGCCTCCTAAGGGTCAGATGCTAAAGACTCAGGCACAGGTGAGAAAGAGGACAAGACATTTCCTGTACATCTTCTCGCCCATCCAACTTGACCAATTGCAGGTGGCAAAACTGACATTCTAACACCACTAGCAGCAAAAGATATTCCACAATGCCACCAGGTACTTTTGAAAGAGGTTTGTGTAGTGCCTGGGAGGTGAGCTGCTGACAGGGGCTTGCAACTCTGTGTACTGCGGTGTGCGCACGGTGTTTCCTTCAGCTGGTCAGGTTGGCATCTTTTGGAAGCCTGTACATTTGGGATGGTGTTAAAACTGCCTAATATATCACTCTTCACAAGGCCAGAGGCAAGCAATATCCATCCAGCTGCTTCCGGGCAATCTAAGCAAGGATTCAGTTAGTCTTCTGTTTGAGAAACCCAAAGCTGCCCTTCAACGTGTCTGTGTGTAGCAGCTGGTGGCTAATTTATTATAAATCTACATTGCTTACATTTTAGACAGAAGCAAGACAATATTTTGTCTTTTGCTTGCTGCGAGCAAGAGCAGTCTTCTAGTACTTCATAGGGTTATTTTATTATCCCAGGGTGCTGCAGGCACATTACAGGACACGGGGAATTAATGAATACCGAACCACAGAGCTGACATTCCCCATACAGGCAGCACATGAAAAATGAGACAAGAGGACAATAAAAAGCTGGAGAGTAAGAAAGGAGGAGACAGTGGTGCGCTCAGAGACTAATTACGCAGACACATTTTAACGGGCTTTAATTATTTTTGCTGTAATTCTAATATGGTTCAGGCTAATAATTGATGTTTGTTGCATAACTGATATGTTAAAAAAAAAAAAAAAGAGAGAGAGATAATTAAGCTCAAAGGCTTACGTTAACTTTGGATGCCTAAATGAGGACTGTACTCTCCTAAAGCTCCCTCTATAGCAGAGAGGGAAGAAGCGTCTGGGGAGGAAGCCTACAGAAAGCACGCTCCAAATCTGGGCTCTTTGGTTACATGCCTAAAACTGAATGGCAAGATTATGCATTTCTCTATGGACTCTCAGTGGCAACCTGAATGACTTTAAGCACAAAACTCAAGAAAAGGAAGGAATCAGTGCACTAAATCTAGTCCTTTGGGCAAAAATGGCAGTATTAGTAAAATGTTTGACACTTCCAAAATATTAGTCATTAATTATTCAGATTTATAACCTGCACTGGAAAGTTGCTTACAACGAATAAATAAATAAATGCACAGTTTTTACTTCTTTCTCATAGTCAACCATTTAGGATATTGGAATCTTAAGTTCCAGGCTCTTTTAAGCTTTTCAGATTATTGCACCCAAGAAATGTTACATCTGACATGGTCATGCATTAGCAAAATTAAATGTAGAAATAAACACCTCCAACATCATGTAGGTCTCTGGACATTAAGCTTTCCATCTCTGTATATACTTCTGTTGGTTCCCTTAGGAGATGATTCTCTCCTTAGGATAATTAAACGGCAAAGCACTCTGAGTTTAATGGGGAAAGACTGGGGCCAAACTGCTCACAGGTTCCAGGGTAATTATGCATTTCTGCAGCAAGCTATTTCCTTTGTACTATTAGTAGATATTACATTATAGATAAAAGGAAAAAGACATTTGGGACAAAATCTGAACAAATGGAGGACTGTTCCCTTTGTAGGTACATAATGAGGAAAAAGAATGATCAAAAAGAGTATTGAAACAGTGGAGGGAGTGGATATTAAAAGGAGAATTCATTGATCAGTCAAAAGATACTTCAGTCTGTAAAGAATTCATGAATGGTCACAGCCCACCAGCAAAGATGAGCTGTGAACATGGCAAGCAACATTAAAATAGGGATTTAGAAGTTTGACAGAAATGTGGGACATCCTCTCCCACGAGTTGAGGATCAAGGTGGTATGTTACTGTGGGGTGCTAGCTCTTGTGAGCACAAAGGAACCAGAGCAGTTCTCTGAGATCATCATGTGATCGACAGCTCCAAATGACCCAAGGAGGGAAAATACTCCATGGAGTACTAGCAAATAGCTGCTAGCACACTTTGCAAGTATTAAGATACCTAAAACATACTGCAAATCCCTGCATTTTAGTCAAAAAACACTGCTATCTTACATCTCTTTGACTCAAAGAAGCAACACAACTACATTGGGTGGTTCTGTGCTTAGCTTCCTCAGGCTTGCTGATCAATCACAACCCAGTGTCACAGCAACCTGGTTATGCTGGTGACACCCACGCTAATCAATGAACGTGCCCAAGAGTACTATTCGGGCCTGAGGCCAAAAGCCATGAAACAGCCTGTGCCATTAAAGTCTTCTGACTTCATAAGGAGACCATTCACATCAGTCTTCCGGGAACAGTCACTGGCCCATGGTAAAACACAGCTAGGAATTTGGGGAAGAGAACCAGTGGGCCTAGCCAAACTGAAGGACTGTTTAGTGCACTGATAGAGACATAAGCACAGTTCCTGAGCCAAACACTATCTCCACAAGACACACTGCTGCGTAAGATGAACATATGTCTCTCAAGTTATTTCTAACACAATAATCCATGACAATATGCCCAAGGTCCCCATTGCCAGAACTCCTTATTCCCCCAGAAAAAAAAAAAAAAAAAAAAAAAAAAAAAAAAAAAAAAAAAACAGAATTCTGTACAGCTCACTAGATCTTCTGTTGTCTGCATCCTTGGCTTGCCTAGGACTGATGGTATGGCACCTGTTATAGCACACTTTTTCCCTGCCTTCTATATCTAGATAATAACTGCTTCATCTTAGAGTTACATTTAACAGCTCCTCTGCTTTCCTTCCCCAAAGAAAGTGTCCTACAGGGCACATGGAGGGCTTTTTTAGCAGTTAAAGCACAATGTGCTAGTCAGGAGAGTTAAATTTGTAGTTCTGTCACATGGTTCTTCTCGCCATATTCCTGTGGGCTGGATTACAATCTGTTTCACTGATATAAATCCAAAGCAAGGCCATTACCTTCATTACACTTGTACTTCTAAAGTCAAGACAACTGCAATGGATAACTTAGAGCATCTTGTCTCAAAATGAGTTGCTCTGGATTTCTAGTAGAACGTGTGAGCAAAATCTGAGGACGGACTCCCAGGTCTCAGTTTTAACTACCGTACTGGGGAGCTTATTAACAACAACAGTGCTTGAGGCTCTGGGGAAAGACATCATCACATCATGACAAAGTGTTGTGTACAATCTCCCAAATGCATCTGATCAAGCAGGTGCCTTTGCACGTCATTCACTCCTTGGCACACAGCATTGTCCAGAGAGATGGATGCATCAGGATGCAGCTAACACATCAGGGCATCCAAAGCACTGGGCAACCCTTGCTATCCACTGAGGGCCCTGGAGCTCTTAACTAGGCATGGAAGAAAACTAAGATTCACTAAAACCAAATGCCCATCTGTACCACAGCTAGCAGAGGTGAAGCTCATTCCATCTGAAACTGAATCAGCTCTCCTGGCTAGTAGGATGTGCTTTAAAGCCTGCTTACATGTTGCTTTCAGTGACTGGCCCCAGTGCAACACTGGCTTCTGCCAGGAATTCAGAGTCACACTCCACCTATCACATCTGATTAGAAAGAGTGCCTCAGCACCAACTTGTGACAAAAAGCTCAATTTTATATTATTTGGATGTCAAATCACAGACAAATTTTATACCTTGACATGTCCGGAGTGATAGATGTATATATAGAAAGTTAAT